ATATGCACTGTTTTCACATGCGACATATATATATACTCAACCCAAACTTTTTCTAAAATTTGTTCAATACGATTGAGGTATATATTGATTAAATTAAATGGCAAGGTCGCTGATTTGCTTAGTGATCCCAAAAATAATTATTCTTGAATTATCTTTTACATTTTCCGTTTTACATTATATCTATAAATTTAACTGCTTAGTCCTGAAGACCTGTATCCTCCCACACATTTAGATCACGGCGAAAAAAGAATCGTAATCGTCCTGAAAAATATATTGAACAGCTCGTCTTCAATAAGAAAATTAGCCATCTCCTGCGATAATTAAACGTAAGTTCTCTCACAGAGAAGAGAATGCATAATATGAAAAAAAAATAAAAAATGAATTATAGGCAACACAAGTATGTAGATTTGTTTTCAAATAAGCACATATTTTGTGTTATAGTTCAAATTTTAAATAATAGATTAAACTGAAAGTGAGATACACACAACTTCTTGGGCTCAGGTCATTGCTAAAAAGAAAATTAAAAAAGCTTTGAAAGTTTTGTAATACAATTTAAATATTACAAAAATTGTAATTTAGTCTTTTAAGTGGTTATCCTCAAATTATTAGCTGTGGATATGTTTCGTACTGCCATAGGCGACGCCTTAAACGAAAGTGAAGGGATTTGTTTTAAATAAAATTTTATTCATAAATTTTAATATAAAAAAACACATTTTAATTAGTTTATGTAAATATATCTATTAAGTTTCGGGGAAATCATTACAATTTTCTTTTTTACTTAAAAATAGTTGTGGATCATTAAATACTTTCACAACATGAAATAAGATTTAATACGTGTGCTCGCTTATTTATAAATATTTGTTTATGACATATCCCAAAACAGTTATCGCAATTTAAGTATAAACCACAACGAACCATTATTTTTTGATTATGTCACATTATGTAATAAAAGCCAAAAGTTTTAGACAGAATAATTCCAATTCCTAATTTTATTACAGTGAATTTTAGAAGGCGATAACAGTATGCATAGGGCTCATACAGCTTTCAACTTGGTGTTATCACCTATAGCTCAAAGAAATTTCGCCAGTTGGTTGCTAAAGGATGGTAATTCTAAGGTAGTCGAATTTCGATCATACTGAACATATTTATTATAATCTTTTTTCGAATTTTCTTAGGTATGGAAAAATTCTACAATTTTGGCTACAATCCGTGCTTATAGTTCAGCCCCAGCTGAACAGTTTGCTTCTGGCACATCCGCTACTTATGTGGAGGAAATGTACAACTCATGGCTGCGTGATCCAACTTCAGTACATACGGTAAATATCTCATATGCTTAAAAATTATCGTTCGTAAATGCACAAGCTATTATAGTCATGGGATGCATATTTCCGGAGCAATTCTTATAATGCACCTCCGGATTTTCAACCTGTTCAACGGAATTTAGTACCTCTTTCGAGTGGCGTTAGTGCACTTTCCTCAGGGGAAGCAATTGATTCAAAAACCATTGAAGACCACTTAGCTGTCCAAGCTATCATCAGAAGTTATCAGGTAAGTTATGGGCTTTTCCAATTTTCGAATAAAGATGGGTGCATCCTCTATAAAGTATCATGCCTACCCTATAAAGTGACACGCAATTTTCAAGGCGTTCTGTTTTGTTATGGTTATTCAAATATAGGTATACTTATTTAATTTTTTATATTAAGTTAATATGTTATTTATACACATTTATATCATTTGTTATTCATGCAAATATTCATTTGTCGTTTTTCTTTAAATGAAAAAAATTAATGGCCCGTAGTCGTCATTTAAATATATTTTATTGTTTTCAAAGTATAGTAATTTAGCATAAATTTATTTGACATAATTTTGAAATTTTATTTTTAGATGTAATATTCTAAAAATTTGTCTTCATTCTGAGTATTTAGTTGTTCATATGTATTGCAAAAATTGAAATGTGTGGTCGCAATATCATTAAAATTTTAATTTCATGTTTTCAATAAAAAATTTTCCCTACCTTGTACCAAATACTTATTCATTTTAGTTTGTTACTAACAAACTAATGCGTTTTCGTTGAAATATTTCTACGGGCCGATCAGCGTTTTAATATTTTTAACACTAATTTAAATAATTGATGTGATTTAGTTGATGCAAAACTTTACTTACACAAATCATTTCTGAACTTAAGTATTTTCTAACGTTTCGTTGGATTTAAGTATATAGGTGTAATAAGTTATTATATCAGCCTTATAACAATATCAATTTTAATCATTTATTTGCACATTTCTTCCTTATTTTGTTTTATTTACAATCATAAACCATTAAAATTACCGATTAAACGCACACAATGAATGCAACA